ATGGAGGACCAGAGCTATGAGACAAGGCTACTAAATTTATACATGTTCACGTTGGAAGGAAGGAGATTAAGGGGGGATATGATTTTCATGTACAAGATGTTCAATGGTGATAGCAACATTAGCAACAAACTATTTACGATTAACTCTGTAACAAAGACTAGAGGCCACCACCTAAAATTGGTGGAAAAAAAAAATCCAGCACAAGGGGAGAAGTGGGTTCTTCACAGTTAGAGCGGTTAGGGTCTGGAACTCGCTGCCACAAGCAGTGATTTCAGCTATGAGTGTGGAATCATTCAAGAAGCTTTTGGACGATTTCCTGAGAGACCGTAATATACAGGGGTACAGGTATTCTTAAGAACGAGATGGTACATGGACCTATACATACGCACACAGCATGCAATAGGTTGGACTTGATGGACTTATGTCTTTATTCAACCTCAAATACTATGCTGACACTTGTAGTGCCCTCACACACAGGACACCAAGACTGGTGTTCTGGTGCACTGTAAGTCCCAGTTCTTTCTGCGTTACATTACTGACAGCAGAAATACTGTTTCGCTTTATATATCAATTTTGCTGGTCAAAGACCTTATTTCTTATTTCATAAAACAAAGCTATGACACATATGTGTTGCACTGTGACGTTTTTAAGTACAGGTACAGTACATCTCAAAAAAGTAAAATTAAAACCTTGTTATTTTTATAAAAATTGGATTTAATGAACTTTCCATTTTATATACAGTTACCAGTACAATTGTATTTATTTGATAAACAAAAGAATCATCTAAATATATGTCCAGCCCCTGATTGGATTCACAACCCTCGGCATGGCCCCTTAGTATGTTTGGATTTGACACCCCTATGATGCAATCTCGATTTCTCAAGACTACATCTCCCATCATGCATTGCTTCCTGCAAGCAATGACAATGTTATATTGTTTAGAAGTTGTGCTGTAGTTCAGACTGCAGGTTCTGTGACATATTCAAAGGGCTGAGTCCATTGAGGAAGTACATCCTATGGGCATCTTCAATAAGTACAGACTTCTAGATGAATATGGTTAATAGGAGTGGGATAGAAATTCAATACAGAAAGATATTTAGTTTTAGTTTTTGCACATAGATCCCCCTTATTGCTACTAATAACTGTTTTACATGATATAACTGTTTTTGTTTTTGATTTGGCAGTCCCTGTAGAAAAATAAATCAGGGAATATTACTATAATCTGTCCACTTAGTTGATAAGCCCCTCTATCGCACTTTAGGTAATGTGGACAGATGGTGGACGGAGCACTGAGATGTCTGGAGTGACAGACCGTTCCTTAGCAACACAGCACGTGCTTCCTCCTGGTAACTCTTAGTAGTCTGGAGGTAAAGGTGGAAGACGAATGTGAAGGTCCATCCATGGAATACATGACGCACCTGCAGAGGTAAAGTTTTCTGGGAAGTTTTGCATTAGCTTCAAGTGAAAGAAGATAATTAAGTAGAGAGGAAGATCCTAAACAAAGAGGAAGATAGATGGTGGTGGCTGGAGAGGTGTAATCTGCTTTTCTTTCCTTCTGACAAGCAGGAGGAGGGCTCCAAATAAGGTAAGCAAAGACACTATGTGTGCATATATATAGCTATATATATATCTATATATCTATATATAGATATATAGATATATATATACCTACTTTTATTTATATTTATCAGG